CATTCCGCCGAGAACATCTCACAAAGAAGACTTGACACACGGAGCACTGATGACAGAGGGGCTGAGAGCTGTGGGATATCAAGAACATCATGCATGAAGAAAGGAACTTGCTTCCGAACACTGAGGAGCTAGAGAATGGAAGAAACAATGACGTATCAGAGCTGAACAGAAAGCTGTTCAGGGCAGCCCACAGCCCACAGACAAAGCCAAGCATTTGAACGAAACACACAAAGACCTGGAGTTAGAAAAACTAAAGGCAAGAACCCTCTCAGCCTTTCTCCATCTGAACTAACTGAAGAAAAAAGAAAGAAAAAAAATCCAGGGCTCCCTTTACAATACAATAATGAAAGATCCGATGGGCGACCTATTGAATGAGGTGCTCAGCAAGAAGGGAGGGTGGGGGGAGCACACAGAGCCACTGTACCAAAAAGCGCCGGCCAACGTCCTGCCACTTATGATTTATGGTTTATGATCCCCACCTGACGATGTCGGAGGAGGAAGTCCAAGTTGCACCGAAGGCCCTGGGAATAACAAGGCTCCAGGAATGGGTGAACTACTGGGGGCAGAATCCCGGCAAAGGTGAGCGATGCTGAAATGGTCTCCTGTTTATGTCAAGAAATCTGAAAGACAGATAGCTGGCCAACCAGCTGGAAGGGACCACCTATTCTAAAGACACGTGATCCAACAGGATGTGGAAGCTATCTAACAGCATCCTTCAGATCACGTACCCGAAAAACCCAGAATTGCTCTGGAAGGAACGGCGCTATTGTAGCACGAATTTTGCCCTGCTAGGTGAGTATCGAACAACTCACTCTAACTTAGTGCACCCAGTGATACCATTTGGAAAGGTTCTCTCTGATCACTGTGAATTTTCTCATAAAAGCGTTTTTGCTCGAACCTCATTTTTTTGTGATGGCTGATTTAAGAGAACAGCGCGTGGCTGTGAAGTTTTGTTTCCTGCTTGGGAAGAACGTGCAGAAACGGTTGTGATGTTGAACACAGCTTACAAGGACAGTTCACTGGGAAAAACTCAAGGGCACAAATGTTTTGATGACAAACCTCGTTCTGGATGTCCATCAACTTCCAGAAGGGACGAACATGTTGACTCATAGTGCATTTGGAGTTCCTTCCACCAGGTCCGACTGTTAATCAAGCTTTCTATTTAGAGGTTCTGAAAAAATTGTGTAACAGTGTGCGACAAAAAAGGCCTGATTGGTGGCAGACAGGGGACTGCTTTTGCTACCATGACAATGCACCTGCTCATGCAGCCATCTCAGTGCACCAGTTTTGGGCAAAAAACAGCATGCCTCTCTTGCCTCAGGCATCTTACTCACCTGACCTCGCTCCCTGCGACTTCTTTTTGTTTCCTCGAATGAAGAGGGACATGAAAGGACAGTGATTTGAGGACATAGAACAGGTGAAGGCAAAAAAAACCCCAAACAAACGAGGGAGGTGTGCTGTCTCTCATCCAAACAAGTGAGTTTGAAAAACGTTTCCAAGAATAGAATCACAGATTTGACAAATGTATTACATGCAATGGAGAGTACTTTGAAGGTGATAAGAAGAGTTCAAAGCAGAAAATAATTGTCTTGGAAGGGCTAAAGCATATTCCAGGGTGATATTCTCAGGGAAGCCTTTAGTCTCCACCGGTCTGGACTTCTTAAGACCTTGGGGTGCTGTTATAATTTTTAAATAACTTTTAAAAATTGTCTATAAAGTTAAACTCTGGGGGCACTGTTGTCTTACTTGAAATCATGTAGATAGATCCTAAAAGTGCCCAGTGCTCAAGGCAGAAAGCCTATACCAGCCCTGATGGCACAGAGAGTTTATGAACTGGGCTATTAAACTCAAGGTCAGTGGTTTGAACCCAACCGCTGCTCCACGGGAGAAAGACGAGGCTGTCTGCTCCAGTAAAGGTTCACGGTCTTGGAATCCCACAGGAGGCAGCTCTGCTTCGTCCTATAGAGTCGCTCTGAGTCGGCATCGACTCAGCGGCAGCGGTTTGAGTTTGGTTATTGTTTGAGGAACCATGGGAGTGCAGTATGTTAAGCGTTAGGCTGTTACCTCGAAGCTCAGCCGTTCAAACCCACCGAGAAATGAGGCTGTCTGCTTCCACAGAGATTTGTAAAAGAAAAAATATATATGAAACTCGAATTGTGTGCAGGCTCTCTGCCTTGTGGAAGTGCACTTCCCCCTCTACCGCCAATAAGCAATATGCAGAGTCCTCGGGGTGGGGGTGGGGGGAACCAGCCTTGAGATGGCGCTTTTATTTTGCCACATAAATATGTTGTTTTTGAGGGGAAGATTAGGGAAACCTACCACCAAGCCGCAGAAAATAGCACAGCGTCCTCTCTGAGAGCCTGGACTCTGCCAAGTTTGTCTCTCTGTTTCCTTTCTATGCACCTGCGTGTACACCTGCGCACACACCTGCGTGCGCACGCGCGTACACACACACACACACACACACACACACACACACACACACACGCGAGACCCTGTGTAGTCCACATGCTTCCTGTGCTCTTGCTCAGCTGTTAGTCAAAGGTGAGAGGTACCAGCCCACCCACAGGTGCCGCTTGGCTCTGGGTCCGAAAAAGCAGCCTCTGTCTGCGCGCAGGGAGCGCAGTTCCACTCTAGAGCACTTGGGGGCGCTGTGGTCGATGCTGACTCCAGCGCCGCTGGGGGGCGGGGGATGGTGAGGGTGGTGGTGTATTATTTAGTTTGATAGAACAGTTAAAAAGAAAAAAACAAAAACAAAAAACAGACGAAGGGCATCCTGTTGACGTCGTGGGCAGTTCAGGTTCGTTTATTTCTTTTTTTTCCCAACCCATTTTTGATGTTTGCTTCTTTCTTTTTCTCATCCTTGTTGATTTTTAATCTTCCGAGCTCTTAAAATATCGGTCCGTTTGCAAAAGTGTTCTCAGTCTCAAAAACGCATTCCCATCTAGTCATTCTGACTCCTCGCGACCCCGTAGGACGGAACGGAACGACCCTCTGAGTTTCAGAGACTGCCAATCTTTAGGGAGCAGGCAGCCTTGTCTCTCCCGCTCTCTCTCATGGAGTGGCTGGTGGGTTTGAACCACTGGACTATGGCGATTATCAGTCCAACACCCTCCCGCCAGCGCCACCAGAGCTCCTCAGACCTCATATAACATAAAACCAAACTTGCCCCCATCGAGTTGATTCCGACTCACAGCGACCCTACAAAACAGGGTCGAACTGCCCACGTGGGTTTCCATGACTAACTCTTTACGGGAGCAGAGAGCCCCACCTCTCTCCCATGGAGCGGCTGGTGGATTCGAACCTGTGACCTCGTGGTGAGAGGCATAACCCACTGCGCCACCAACAATATGTCCCCCAAAGAGTGCCCCACCCCTTCTTGGATCCTTCCCTATTGCTCTCACTGTAGGCAATCAATTACAGTTCTGGGGGCTCCCCCCCCCCACCTATGACTGTCTTTTTAGGAGTCCTGGTAATGCTGTGGGTTAAGGGTGCCACTAGCCACATGGGTCAGGAGTTTGAACTCACCAACCGCTCCAGGGGAGGAAGATGAGGCTGTCTGCTCCCATCAAGAGTTAGTCTTGGAAACCCGCAGTTGCACCCTGCACGACCGGGTCGCTGTGCGTCAGAATCCACTCAATGGTAGTGAGAAAGATGTGTGGCCTTGGAAACCCACAGGGGCAGTTCCACCCTGCTCTAGGAGGGGGTCGCTGTGAGTTTGGTTGGGTGGTGCCAGAGGTGGAGCACTGGGCTGCCAACCCCAACGTAAGCTGTTCAAACCCACCAGCCGCTCCTCAAAAGACAGATGGGGCTGTTTGCTTCCGTAAGGACGGGCAGCTTTGGGGATCCCATGGGACCGTTCTACTCTGTTTCCGAGGGTTCCATGTGCCAGAATTGCCTTGGCGGCAGTGCGTGCGCGTGCACGTGTGTGTGTGTGTGTGTGTGTGTGTGTGTGCACGTGTATTCATGAACAGAATCGGCTCAGAAGCACACAGGTCAGTATTTCCCCAGGAGTCAGGCAAGGGTCACGCTCAGTACAGGGGGCTTTCCTGAACTCACCCTGCCCTTCAATGCCCCTTATAGATCCCGCCCACCCCCCATACCCCTCCTATCCCCACCACCACACCCCGCTCCCAACAACTTCCCTTACAGCCCTGTCACCACGTAGTGATGAAGGATGTGGTCCGTCCTATTTTGCCCACATCAGGAGGTCTGGGTTCTATAAGGGCAGGTTTGGGGGTCCCACGGAGGAATGCTGTTCGGTCCCCCTGTGGCTAAGCCCCTGAACACCCATCAACGCCAGCCGTCCACTCGCTGTGTCCCCGGGCGACGGAGCAGGACTGGTCCCTAGAGGTCCCAGGGTGCCATCTCTTTCCAGCAGGGCGGCTGAATTTTGGGTTGGCGAATGCTTAGCCTGCAGCGCCACCAGGGATGCTTGGCATGCGTCTCCATGTCCTTACAACAGAACCACCATCCCAACTCTTAGCAACCCTACAGGACAGAGTAGGACTTCCCCAGGAAGCCCCGGTGGCCCGCTGGCCACTCCCTGGGCTGTTAACAGCAAGGTCGGCAGTTCGGAACCACCAGTCGTTCTGAGGGGGAACAATGAGACTTTCTACTTCCCTTAAAGAGTCCCAGTCTCGGAAACCCACAGGGCTTGCTCCACCCTGTCCTCCAGGGGTGGCTGTGAGTCGGAATCCGCTGGACGGCAGTGCATTTGGTTGGAGTTTAGAGGGTTTCTGAAGAGGCTGCCCAATTTTCAGGAAGCTAACTGTCTCATTTTTCTCCAGCGCAGCCAACCGGCAGTTTACAGCCAACTGCTGTAACCGCTGTGCCGCCAAGGAAGCCTCTCCAACATACCAGGAAGTCGGAGAGCGGGCTGGCAGTCCGGACAGAGCAGGGGAGGGGGCAGGGGAGGGCAGGCAAGGGGGTGTGGGTGGGCTGGGATGGAAACAAGGCCGGGTCAGTGCAACGGCTCAAGCCCAGCTCTGCTCCCGCAGGACTCTCGTTAGTGGTGGGCTTGGTCCTGTACATCTCCAGCATCAACGACGAGGTCATGAACAGGCCCAGCAGCTCCGAGCAGTACTTCCACTACCGCTACGGCTGGTCCTTCGCCTTCGCAGCCTCCTCCTTCCTGCTCAAAGAGGTGCTGGTCTGAGGGAGGAGGGCTGGGGGTCAGGACTCTGGTCTGAGGGAGGAGGGCTGGGGGTCAGGACTC